AATCTCTGAACCATCAGTCAAGACATATACCTACATATTCAGAACAACAAGTGGAGCAAATTTTGTTCTTGGACCACGACCAAAAAGTGGCCGGAACTTGCCCGAAACTTGAACTGAAAACCAACTGAAATTTAAGCGATAAAACAAGTTCCAAAAAGCAGAAAATCGATCCTAAACAACCCAACCATCAACTAGAACACATTGGGAGGATAAAAAGCATACCTGGATCAACAAATTTGGTGGCCAGAATTGTCCGAAAATGACGACAAAAGGAGTGGCTGGGCTCGCCGGAGAAGGGGCGGGTTGGAAAGAGGAAGTCGAGACGATTCTAATGGAGTAGGTCCGTGGCCAACGGTGATCAGATGGAGGAGTTGCCGGCGAAAGAATGGCCAGGGCTATGTTCACGAGAGTGAGAGAAAGGGAGGTCGTGGGAGGGAGAGAGAAATGAAGGAGAAGAATAATAAAAAATGAGTTTTTTAAAAAAAGACTTCAAAATATTTACGGTTGTGTCACTGCACTTCCATTGATCGTAACTTCTTCGTTATAACTCTTATTTGTGCCCACTACGTGTCTACAACGTGCTCTACGCAACAGTATTACTCAAATTCCCAATTCCTTCCTGAATAAAAAGGAAACTTTTAAACTCATTAAAATATTCCTGGAGTAAAATTATTTTTTACTTGAATAAATTAATAATTAAATATTAATTTAGGATCGGGTTATTACATGTTAAAACTTTGTTTTTGTCCACTCACAATTTTCTATTTTGTGTCCCCCAAGCAGTAGCTTGACGTCATCCGAACAACCAAGCCAAGCCTTCCTCTTCTCGTGTCTTGACTTAATTGCAGCACACTTATTGTCCATTTCCTTTGAAACTTTACTTTGGTTGTTTAACTGTAGATTCTTAGACTGCTTTGTTATTACCCATGTAGGGTTGAATTTAAGGCCGGAGGCCTATTCTGTAAACTGTGTGCCTATTGCATTATGCATGCTGGCAGTTGGTATCTTTCTGTGCTATTTTTGGAAGATTGAAATTTTGGTAAAGTCCATTTTTTAGAGGAGACTCAGCCGAAATTAATTTTAGTAGAAGTCTCGACACCTTTTCCTTTGTTTCGGAGAAGAGGATGTTTTTAGTAAGTAGGCCCGACATCGGTTAGATGTTGGAAAAACTGTAGGGTTGGTCATGGATTCCGAGGAATTCGAGACGGATCCTGTCAATGGAGGCAAATGAATGTACAACAAGAGATCTCTAATCTCTTAAAGGAAAAAAATAAATAAATACTACAACGATATGATTGATGAAATCTCTGTGCAGAGTAGTGGATAAGATTTGAAAGTAAAAGTCTTCAAATCTTACCAGGATAATCATATAAAGGAATAATTCACATTAGGATATTCGACATTAGATTCCATTATGTAATAATGTGAATAAGGAGTATTGTATAAGAGAAAGATTCAATTGCTCAGTCATGCCAATTCAAACAAGTTCTTCCCTACACCTAATTAACTCGGATAACCATGAAATGTTGCTTGGCGTCAAGCATGGTATGTGGAAGTCCTGAAGGGTTCAATCATAATTGACCTTCACTAACTAGAAGAATTAAATAGTGAGATTTAACTCACAAGTCAACTCAGAGAAGTTGAGTCTACCCACTCTCTGCCTAGAGAAAGACTAGCTCCTAAGTTCTCTAGGTTGATTTCTCTTCATATCTAGTCCATTTTGGTGTGGTGAGGTAGAGGACTTCACTCTTGGAGTCTTGGGTTGTGAGAAGAGGAAGAGAAGAAGACCTTTTCCTAAAAAGGTCTTCATTCTTGGCTTATCCAAAAAATAGTCTTCAAGAGTAAAAACTTATCCTTTCTCTATTTCCTATTTTTTTTGCGCAAAGAGACTAGATCATAAGATGCTTGGGTTAAAATGAAAAAGTCTTAGCCCAACTAGAATAAGTATAATTAATCCACCATTATGAATGTTTATGTATATGTTTTGGCTAAATTCATGCCAAGAGTCATTAAATGCAAAATGTTTCCTTCAATATCTACTCTCACAGTATGCATCCTTTTGGCAAAAGTGGCACATGAACAATTAGACCCAGTTTCAATTGACAAAAACTGCAAGCTAAGAACGTATCACTTAGAATTGGCAAGTAATCACATATTGCTTACAAGCAAAGTCAAATTTCTGAGATTAGATATGATTTGAGTCAATCACAATCAATTCAATCCTAATTAACCTAGGTCAAAAGCTTTATAAAATGGACGTCGTACGTCTAATTAAGGGACCTACAATTTTTTCGAAAAACAACCCAAAAATCTTTTTCAACAAACAACTCAACACAATCTTTTCCAAAGAACTCAAGACTTTTGTATGATTTCTTTGCTTGCATTCTCATATCCAGTGGCAGACCTGTGCAGGCGCAAGGAGATGCACCTGCACCTCCGCTTGCTGGAAAACTCCATTAGAGGTGCTGGAGTTGCACCTTTGCTCAAACTAGAGACGGACGCAAAGTGTTCGAATGAAATGGTCGGAATGGCGCTGTGCGCTTGCGCTGTTGGTTGCTCCTTCTTTTTTTTAAAGCCTGGCCAAAAAAATGTTGTTTTGGACCAGGCTTTTTATTTTTTTTTACCTGGCCAAAACGACAGTTTTATTTATAAAAAATATAAAATAATAAAAATAATAAAAAAAAAGGAAGAAGGGGAAACTGCTGGGCCATTACGTGGTCTTTTAAAAGGGCTTCTATAATTCCCTATTTAATTGGGTTTTAATATGGCCTACACAATTCCTTATTTAAGTGGGGTTGAGAATTCTCTTTATAAAGGACTAATTTAACATCACCCAATTTTATCAAAGAGTGCGTACATCACAAGAATCCTGCGTTTTTTTTTCCTTCTTGAGTACGCCAATCCAAAGTATGTTGGATGTATTTTTTTTTCTTGAGCAAACGCCAATTTTGTTTATTCTATTTTTAATAATTTTTTTTCTTATTTAGCTCTCTCTGTATTAGTAAGATCAGTAGCTCTTAGCTTTTAAAAATTGCACCTTTGCTGAAAAATTCCTAGGTCCACCGCTGCTCATATTCCAAGCCTTCCCGAGCCTTATGTGGCTTAGATATTCACGGTTTGATAATAGCTTTGCCAATTCTAACATTAGCAATTGAAGGTGTTGTTTGCTTTTGCAGTGCAAGATCTAACACATTTGATTTGGCTATCATAAAGCTCTCCAACCACATGTTGGACTTTCCTGACGCACTGAAGTTGTTCCAGGCGATCTACGGTGATTCAAGGTGATGACAGCACTAGTTCCAACCAGATCTGACTAGTATGACGCTTTATTTATTGATTATTATGTTTTCTTGCTTTCTAGTCTGTATTAGGGAGATTATAAATTCCTTATTTGTGTTAAGGCATAGAAAAGAATCAATATTGAGCCAACTCCCCACTCATTGCATAATTGTTTTATTAAAGTTAGTTTTCTTGGCACAAAAGATACTTTTGTTGACTTTTACTCGATTAGGGTTTTACACTGGTAATAGTGGGTTATCGTAAAAGCAATCTTTTGGCCTATTTAAGAGGCTGTGACATTTGGGGTAAACTCTTTCATTTTGGTACATATAAGATAATATAATCTACTTCATTTTGGTAAACTCTTATCCCAATACCTTCTTGCATATAGATGGATTAAAGCTATAGATAAATGATCTACTTCATCTCTTGAGAGAGGTCTCTGCAGCATGGATCCCCTATAATATAATCTCAATCCCTTTAATATCAGTTTTTGGAATATTAGCCATTTATGAAAGTCGGTTCGGTCGAACCGACAGTGTAGAAGATTCTGAACTCTGAACCATGAATCAAACCAACCGATCCAGTTCGGTCTGTTCGTCAGATTATTGGTAAAAAAATCCCAACCCTATTGATTTCACTTTCGGAGCCTTGCACAAGCTAAGCAAAGCAGGTGGCAACACTAAACTAGTACTATTGTTTATACCAAAATGAACAGCCAATGAATATCGGATACATGGACCAAACCAGGGCTATGGGTGCATTCGGCACCCACCTTCGGTATCATCCCCACCGGTCGCAACATTAGGGCAACCTCACCCCCTTCGACACGTGGCAGTCCCACAATTGATGTCCACAGTCCCACATCGAAACTCTAAACAAATTGCACACCTCCCAAGGCCTATAAAAGAGGACAACCATCCCAGCTTGGAGGTAATCAATCAGAACTCATGGCATACTGCCTATTGATCTGTAGTTCAAACTTACTAAATCCGTACTTACTTAAGCATCGGAGAGCCTTCGGCCGGTACCACACCGGTGCCCTAGGACTTACCGAGCGTTCATTATCTTACAGGTATAACGACCTACCGAGGCCACAGCATACCGAAGGAAAACTAAATCACTAAGTTTCGCGGGAAAGTGCCGAACCATTTTTCTGCATCAACAGTTTGGCGCCGTCTGTGGGAAATCGAAAACAATCAACCTACAATTCCTAAAAAAAAACACATGGGGACCACTTCAGGACCACAGTTCCTATCGGAGGATGGATTACCGTACGGTATGCCAAGTGGAGCAAGCCCCGCGCTGCACCCTAGCACCCCCTTCGGTAATCCTCCAGTGCTTCAGACCACTGTCGAAGCACAGCTTCTGGCTCAGATGACCTCCCTTCGGAGGGAAATGGCTAAACTCCAAGAACATAATAAACTCCTCTCGTCCAAAGTAGACGAAACCCAGCGGTTGCTTAACCAGCAGGAAACATAGAGCATTCAGGCTACCGAGTCTTCCCAGAGTCAGCAGACCCCCGGTCGGCGGAAGAAGGGAAAGAGGGGGGCAAAGGCAACGCCTGCGCCTGCACCTTCCAAGCAGTTGGTGGTCCTAGCTCCATAGGACCAACCTCACGTGCCGAAGAAGGTGTACACCGATTGTCGTCATCGGATCAACGACAAGAAGGATGCCGAACGGCATAGGTCCCCAAGCAGGGGCGCCTGCGGGACTCCCGGATGAAGGTCCTGGGAGATAAATCGCCCCTTAGGAAGGTCCAGGGTTTGGATTCGGGGTTGGAGTCTGATGATGAGTACGTCCCCACCAAGGGCACAGAATCAAACTACCGTTCGGAAACTCCCCCGGGGTATTCGAAGGCAAGACCACCAAGTCCGAGGAGAACTTCCGAAGACTTCAGTTCCGAGGAGGTCCCAAGCCGAGACCCCGCTATCTGCCTGCTTTGATAGAGAATCCAAAAGATGGAGGATGACCGAACCCGGTCCCAGGTCCCTGACTGGGGAAAACTTCGGCTAAGACCATTTACCGAGCGCATCAAGAAGTCCAGACAGGACAGGGAGGTGCAGCCGTTGCGTATACCATTTTATACCAGCGTGGAGGACCCTTTGACGCACCTTCACTCCATCCAATCGGCAGTTGGATGCAAGGGCCTCAGCGACGAGGGGCAATGCCTGCTGTTCCCATCATCCCTTACCGAAGCCGCTCTGAACTGGTTCTACCGTCTTGAGCCGGGGACGGTAGACTCCTTTGACGAACTGAAGCAGATTTTCCTCAATCACTTCATGATCCAGACAGACCGCTTGTACTCTGCCGATGATCTGCACACGATTCGGCAGAGAGAGGACGAACCCCTACGGGAGTACGCAGCGCGCTTCAGTCACGAATACTCGAGGTGTCCAGAAACGGACGATAGGGTAGCCTTCGGCGCCTTCAAGAGCAGCCTTCGGTCCTCTCACTTCCGGTACCTCGTGCACAGTAGTAACCGGCGCACATACGACGAGTTGATGAAGCAGGCGGCAGTTCATGCGAAAGCCGAATATTTCAACTCCAAACCCGGGCCCTCGGCTCAGAAGGAGGAGTCGGCGACCAAGAGTTATCCGGGGCGAACTGACGATTCTTCGGCATGGCACTAACGGAAGGACGACCGTGATAGTCGTCAGGGAAACCAGAAGAAAGGGCGTGGCAAATACGGTCGTAACGACCACGGTGCGCCGCTACTGAATCACGATCGTGCCCAGGAAGTCTTCACCCTGCTGAACACAACATACGAGACCGTTCTAATGAACGAGCATGACCAAATCCCAAAGCCAACGAACCGAAAGCCCAATCGGCAGGATAATCGGGACACTGGCAAATTCTGCCGATACCACTAGCAGAACAGCCACAACACCGAAGACTACATCAGTTTGAGGAAGATCGTTGAGCGCCTGATTCGGGTGGGAAAGTTGGATCAGTACATCGCCAGGCCATCACAGGCACCGGCACCGGCACCGAACACAAATCGGCAGATCAACATGATCAACACCATCAGCGGAGGCCCCACTCTGGCAGGACCCTCTAACCGTTCAATGAAATAGTATGTGCGTGCCGCTCACTACCCCCAGGTCTTCAGCATAGAGGACGATCGGTGTCGTAAGGTCCCGAAGGTGGGGTGGGAGCCCATCACATTCTGTGAAGAAGAAGAGGAAGGGATCATTTACCCCCACGATGACCCAATGATCATTCGAGCCGAGATCGCCGACTACGATGTAGGTTGGGTGCTGATCGACACCGGGAGTTCGGTGAACGTAATTTTTACCGATGTGTTCAGGGGATTGGGAATTGCCGACAGCATTGTCAATCGGCAAATAACGCCCCTCCTCAGTTTTTCTGGGGATCTGGTCCAGCCAGTCGACAGTATCAGTATGCCCATCGACTTCGGCGTTGCCCCCAGGAAAACGATGACCTACAACCAATTCCTCATTGTCGATTGCCCAACGGCATACAACGTCATCATAGGGCGCACGGCACTCACCAGGGTCAAAGCCCACTTATCCCCCCACATGTTGCTGATGAAGTTCCCTACACGCAACGGTACTGGCATCATCCGGGGTGACCCACTTAGCGCACGGACGTGCTATGCCACAACCCTTAAGTCGGTAGCTTGCAAGCCGTCAATGGAAGCCATGACCGTGCAGGGATTGCCGAACGGTAGCGGGCCCATTGATGACCCTAGGGAGGAGACGCCAACGCCGGTGGCACAGCCTGCCGAAGAGCTCGAAACCGTGGTCCTAAACGAGGTTTTTCCAATCGGTGGGTAAAGATCGGCACCAACCTAGATCCCAACCTCCGAAGACAGTTCATCGACTTCTTACGGCAACAGGCGGAGGTCTTCGCCTGGTCTTATGACGATATGCCCGGCATATCACCTGACGTCATCAGCCACAAGCTCAGCATCTCCACTGCCCACAAACCGGTCAGACAGAAGCGCCGCTCATACGATACCGAACGGTACGAGGTAATGTGTGCCGAAGTTGGCAAGCTCAAAGCCATCGGCTTTATCAGGGAAGCTACGTACCCTGTCTGGCTTGCCAACTCAGTCATGGTTCAGAAGGCCAAAGGTGGATGACGGATGTATCAGGACTATACCGACCTGAATAAGGCTTGTCCGAAGGACAGTTTTCCCTTGCCGAGAATCGACCAGCTCATCGACGCTACTGCTGGACACGAGCTGCTCAGCTTCATGGATGCCTATTCAAGATACAACCAGATCTTTATGGACCCTGCCGATAGAGAACATACGGCATTCATCACCGATCGCGGTTTGTACTGTTACAACGTCATGTCCTTCGGCCTCAAAAACGCGGGAGCAACTTATCAACGGCTCGTCAACCGGATTTTTGCTAAGCACATCGGCGACATTATGGAAGTATATGTCGACGACATGTTGGTGAAAAGCCGAACGGCAGGGGGGCATCTAGAAAACCTAGCCCTCATGTTCGGTATACTAAAGGACTACCGAATGAGGCTGAACCCAACGAAGTGCGCCTTCGGTTTATCTTCCGGTAAATTTCTCGGATTCATGATCAACCAAAGGGGAATCGAAGCTAATCTCGAGAAAATCAAAGCCATAATCGACATGGAGACGCCGAAGACACAGAAGGACATTCAAAGCCTTACCGGACGTGTCGCTGCCCTGACACGCTTCATCTCCAAGGCTACCGACAAGTACGTGCCGTTCTTCAAAGCTTTGAAAGGGGGCAAACATCATATCGCATGGACTCCCGAATGCGACCAGGCATTTCAAAACTTGAAGAACTACATGAGCCAGGCACCGCTATTATCGAAACCGCTCCCAGGAGAAGTCCTCCTCCTATACCTCTCAGTATCCAACACTGCCGTCAGCTCAGTATTGATACGGAAGCCAGAGAAGGCAGAACTACCGATTTTCTATGTCAGCAAGGCACTCCAGAGTGCAGAGCTTCGGTACCCACCCTTAGAGCAGCTAGCACTGGCCCTGGTCGTCTCGGCGCGAAGGCTTTGCCCATACTTCCAGGCGCACGAGATCACTGTTCTGACAAACCAGCCCCTTCGGCAGGTACTCCAAAAACCAGAAACATCGGGCCGATTGGTCAAATGGGTAATCGAGTTGGGAGAATTTGACATACAGTTCAAGCCGAGGCCTACAGAAAAAGGTCAGGCCGTCGCCGACTTCATCTCCGAGCTCACACCTCCTGCACTATCGGAAACATCCTGTCCGAACGCTATTCTTACTCCACCGGAGAAAATGGATGCCGAATGCTTTGACAATTCCGTTCCTCTCTGGATTCTGCACGTGGATGGCTCGGCAAACCAGCAAGGCTGTGGTGCCGGCTTAGTGTTAACCACTCCGGACGGTGGCAAAGTCGAATATGCCCTCCGATTCAACTTCCGGACCTCCAATAACGAGGCAGAGTATGAGGCTCTCTTGGCCAGCCTTCGGCTAGCCAAGAGCATGAGCGCGAAGCAGATCAGCATTCACAGTGACTCCCAGCTCATAGTGAATTAGATAACGGCAGACTTTGCAGCCAAGGATGCCTCTATGTCAGCTTACTTATCGGCAGCTCCCCAACGACTGGAAAAATTTCAGGCCTACGAGATACGGCAGATCCCGAGATCAGAAAACAGCCACGCCGATGCGCTCTCGCGTTTGGCTTCAGCAATAAATGACAAGATCGGAAGAGAGGTACCAGTGGAGATATTATCCCAGCCAAGCACGACAGCTACTGAGGTGTGTACCGTTCGGTACGAGGACACATGGATGTCTCCGATCTATGCTTTCCTGACAACCGGAGTCCTTCCGACCGATAAGTCCCAGGCTCGGAAACTCCGGTACCGATCGGCAAGATACACGGTCATCGACGATGTTCTGTACAAGTGAGGCTACACCACACCGTATCTAAAATGCCTAACCAAAGAGCAGGGGGACTACATCCTTCGGGAGGTCCACAACGGAGTCTGCGGTGACCATTCGGGATCCCATCGCTCGCACACAAAGTCTTCCAACAGGGATATTTCTGGCCAACTCTGCACCAAGATGAGAACATGTTAGTTAAGAAGTGTGAAAAATGTCAACGGTTCGGTAGCGTCCTTCATATTCCTACCGAGCCACTCTCACCGATTGTGAGCCTGTGGCCATTCGCCCAATGGGGGTTAGATTTGATTGGTCCGATGCCAGAAGGCAAGGGACAGGTCAAATACGTTGTGGTTGCCGTGGACTACTTCACCAAATGGGTAGAAGCCAAAGCCTTAGCAACAATAACGGCAGCCAGAATTGAAGATTTCGTGTGGACGAACATTTGTTGCCGATTCGGCATCCCCTACGCCATCATCACGGATAACGGCAGGCAGTTTGATTCGGAAGTCTTCAGAGAGTTTTGCATCCGACTCAAGATCAACCTGTTCTTTGCTTCGCCAGCTCACCCCCAATCGAACGGCCAAGTCGAAGCAATGAATAAAATTGTCAAAAAGCTATTGAAACGACAGCTTGACAAAGCCAAAAGAGCCTGGCCGGAGAAGCTTCCAGAGGCGTTATGGGCCATCCGAACATCCTACCGAACGGCAACCGGGGAAACACCGTTCTCCATGGCTTTCGGCTCGGAAGCAGTAGTCCCGGTAGAAATCGGAGAGCCTTCCTACCGAACGGCAGCTTTCAATCAGAAAGCAAATGAGGAGGTGCTCGCCTTGAGCCTCGACTTGCTCGAAGAGCGCCGAGCACAAGCCAACCTTCGGAACGAAGCTTACAAGCAACACGTCTCTCGGTACTATGACTCCAGGGTCAGATCCCGCTCTTTCCGAGTCGGAGACTGGGTCATGCGGAAAGTCTCTCTGGCAACCAAGAATCCTACGGAAGGAACCCTCGGACCTTCCTGGGAAGGACCCTACGAAATCATCGGTATCCAGCGATCGGGGACTTATCGACTCAGAGACTCCAACGGCAAGGCCCTCGACCATCCTTGGAATGTAGAGCATTTGAAATATTATTTTAAATGAAGTCACCTAGCCTACGGCAGGGTTACAATAGAGTCCCGAAAGCCCTCGGCATTTTTTATATTCACAGCCTTCGGCAGTATAGCGTCCCCTAGCCTACGGCAGGTTTTTAATTGTAAAACGCACTCCAGATGTATCTTTGCCTTCGGCAATTTATCAATGAAATGGCCCTCGGCTCATATATTCAAAACCTTCGGTGTACCCTTTAAGCTTCTTCTCATTTAAAATAAAATAAATAAATAAAAAGATACGGTAGAGACCATCGGTCGCAGTAAACTTCGCATTTTAGCATCGCTATTAGCCTACCGATTGAAGGACAACTTGAAAGAATCACCTTAATTACCCACCGATCCAAGGGCTTGAGCTTTTATTAGCCTTCGGCACTTAAAGCCGTTACTTAGCCTTCGGCAAATACGTCTGTTGTTCTCAAATTCCTACTAGTTGAAATTTTGCGTGGAAGACAGCTTTATTGGCCAACGGCTAATGAACTTTTTACCTAGCCCTTGGCATTTAAAAAGAGATTTTCCTAAGCGTCTTACCGATTGCAAATTGACTTGGACCCTCAAGTTTGAAAATAAAAATAGCTTCAATTAAAAAGATGCCCACGGCATCGAGGTTACATCAAAAGATGCCCACGGCATCAAGTTTACATTACAGATTACATTTAAAAACTTAAACAAGATCAAACGGCAGTCTTCTCCTCGGTATCAGGGGCAACGGGCTCTCCCGGGACATCCTCCACTTCGTAATCCTTTATAATCTCCAAGAGCTCAACCAGCTTTAGTTGAAAACGAGAAGAAGCTTTTGGAGAAGATTATCATTGCAGAGCGTACGCAGCTTTCTGTCAGGCGGCAGCCTCATCGGCTTCGGCCGTAACTCCATTGCCTTCGGCAGTACCCCTTTCGGGATCGGCAGGAGCCTCTTCTGTGGCATCCTCTCCCTCGTACTCCTCGACCATTTCTTCGGTTATGCCTTCAGGAAGAGGGGGAGGATCGGCAATGAAGTTGAGCTTGAGCTTTTTCCCGGGGTTGTACCGCTTGAAACGGTAGAGCAGGTCCGCCATTTCCAAGCCTACTTCCTTATCAAGCAAGGTAGAAAACTCGGTAGACCGACGGTACCCCCGTATCGCCTCCTGGACGGCAGCCTCGATCTCAGAAGCCTTGACCCGCTCGGACTCCTCAAAGGCCACCTGGATCGCCTCCTTCGACTCCAGAGCCTCCCTTGCAGTTAGCTGGCCGCCTCCAAGGCTGCCGACATCTCACCGAGCTTGGCTTGATAAACTTTTACCTGCCGTTTGGCAGCCTGCATGTCCTTTGCCAAGTTCGCCTGAGCTTGGATGGCTTTACCAGCCTCGGCAACCTTCGCTCTGCCGTCTTCATATGCCTTCTTCGCCTTTTCGGTGGCATTAATGGCTCGCTTGACGCACAGCCACATGTCCATTGAGGCCTGAACAGCAAAGGAAAATGTTAGACGAAAAGGGAAACAGACGGTAGGAAAATGCTGAAAATCGTTAAGCACTTACCGAAGCTTGAAGACGGAAGGCGCGGCCAGCCTCCTCCCGAAGGAGCTTTTTCGGGAGGTCCTCGATCTCGGACAGCTCCATTTGTGAACCGAGGATCATGTGGTTCACAAACTGGACTGTCTTTGAAGGACAGGCCAGGGTGACAGCTTCGGGAGGCGCCTCGTTGTCCTCGGCAGAGAAGATGGCCCGAATAGGCTCGGCATGTCGCCCGCGTTTTGGAGCGGGATCGGCATCAAGATCGACCGTGACCGGCTTTTTGCCGGCAGTTTTGGAGGAGGTACCCTCGGCAGTCATACCTCGGCTGGGGGACGGACCAGCATCGGCCGCTCCGGCATGCGCCGATTCAGCGTTCATCTGACGACGACGCTCGTTGAGGGTTAAGTCATCAGGGTCAACCCCTCCCGAAGACGCTGGTGCCGTTCCGACCTGCCGCCCCTTTTTCTTCCCCTGCATGCCGAGCATGAGGCTCCACTTTGAGGACTCGTTCATCCTCTTCGCCTCGGCAGTTTTCCTCTCTTCGGTCACTGCGAGCAAAGATCGGTCAGATTCCCATTTACGCCATAAACTATCGAAGTGGTCAAGTATACTTACTCTCGGCAGGGCTGACGAGTTGAGCTTTGACAAGATTGGTGGTGAAGAGAAACTTCGGATAAACCCTCTCCACGGCAGGGACCTTCAACCTCACCCTCTCGATCTGCCGGATCTCTGCTTGTGTAACGCTCGGCTGCTTCAACTTACCTGCACAAAAAGGGAAACGGAATTAACATTTCCGAAGGAAGACACACTCGGAGTCCTACCGAACGGTAGGATGGCCTACCGGCAATTTGAAACGTGGTGGGAATGTGGAAACGGACGGGATGTCCCGAGGGCGACTCCCAGTCACCAGACAAAAGCACTCGCCGTTTCCTCCACGTTTTCTGGGAGGTTGGCACGGCGTTGACAAAATGGCCACGCTCGGTAGTCTTCAGGCAGTTAGCCTGAACCCAGCCCCCGTGATCGGCAGACTTCAACTTCGTGACGCTGTACAGATGGGAGAACTGCTCGTACGAAGGCTCTCCCTCGCCAGCCATGCCGAAGGCTGTGACCACACCCATTAGCGCTACCCAGAAGTTGGGGTTGAACTGGCCGGGAGCATAGCCTATCTGCGCCAGGATCCTCTGAACGGCGGGCTACAGAGGGAGCCTCACCCCTTGCAGAAGTACGTCCGTGAAAAAGACGACTTCGCCATCCTTTGGACTGCTTAGAGATTTGATAGGATTTGGGATCCTCATGCCTACCGAATCTGGTATGAAGTTCTTAGCACGAAACCTCGCAATCTCCCTCTTGGTGATCCTATTAGGCTCCAAATAATCTACGCCGAAGACGAGCTCCTTCCGAACTCCCATCGGCACCCTAGGATTGCTGGGATAGACTACCGAAACCCTCGGCCGGGGAGATGGTTCGGCAGCTGACTCTCCACGGCCGGAAGTGGAGGCCTCTTACTGGCGACTAGCGCTCGCCTCCCCAGGGGCGCCTAGACCCACATGGCGGCCGTCGCTATAGACAATGGACAACGGCACCGAAGCGGTCATTAGCCCCTTTCCGATGCCATGTATTGGGACGGAGCTGGGCCCTTCACCAAGTATCTCGACATCAGTATCACTTCCATCCTCGGCATCGGGCCCTGCCGCTTCACCATCGGAGTCAAAGAGACCTTCCGATGACTCCTCATCGAACGCATTGGGCTCATGCTCGGAGAATGACTCGCTATCAGACATCTACAAAAACAGGGAAAAAGGAAACTAAGGCTCATGCCGGATACTATCCTACCGATCCCTACATCACTACCTATGGCGACTAGACTACTGAATGGAACCCTATGGTCAGTCTAATTCAAACCAAGGAAGGACGTAACTCTTAAGGTATGCAAAGAGAGAAAAGTGGAGGTGCCGAACGGTACCTTAGTTTGCACTCTGGAAAGTAAACGCGAACTGCGCTTCAGATTGCCTTGACAAAAATCTCCCTTCCTACCGTTTGCAATGCCAGAAATCGCCTGGTTGCCGTTAGCACTCGTCGGAAATCGCCTGGAATACCGGAAGCTCTCGTCGGAAATCGCCTCAACAGAGCTCTCGCTTCTCACTAAGTGCAAAGTGATTTCGCCCCCGGGGTCATCCCTATTTATAGGGCGAGGGTTTGCAACGGTACACCTCGAGAAACCAAACGGCGCATTAATGCGCCGCGCACCATCATTGCTTCCACCACGTGTCGCTCATCCTATGGGGGGACTGACGGCACGCGAGGCGCGGAAGTCGAAGCGCTCAGATGTCCCTTCATCCGTCCACTCGACGCGACCTTCTGACTTCGCCAACTCCAGCCTCTAAACGAATAAGGACGGAAGGGTCAAAATTGAGCCCTTCCACTAAATCGGTTTACCGAACGGTAGGACGGCTTTCCCTTCCGATGACGACTTCAAATCCCCTTCCGAGAACTCTCGCAAGAGGACTTGGGGGACTCCTGTTTATACCAAAATGAACAGCTAATGAATATCGGACACGTGGACCAAACCAGGGCTATGGGTGCATTCGGCACCCACCTTCGGTATCATCCCTACCGGTCGCAACATTAGGACAACCGCACCCCCTTCGACACGTGGCAGTCCCACAATTGATGTCCACAGTCCCACATCGAAACTCTAAACAAATTGCACACCTCCCAAGGCCTATAAAAGAGGACAACCATCCCAGTTTGGAGGTAATCAATCAGAACTCACGGCATACTGCCTATTGATCTGTAGTTTAAACTTACTAAATCCGTACTTACTTAAGCATCGGAGAGCCTTCGGCCGGTACCACACCGGTGCCCTAGGACTTACCGAGCGTTCATTATCTTACAAGTATAACGACCTACCGAGGCCACAGCATACCGAAGGAAAACTAAATCACTAAGTTGCGCGGGAAAGTGCCGAACCATTTTTCTGCGTCAACAACTATAAGCTTAGCACGTGAAATTTTGAGTAGATGTCCCCTCCCCTTTGATCTTTGCCTCATCCTCATGAGATATAAAATAATCTTGAATTCCCCCTCAGCTCTCTCTCCCACTCCCACAAACCTAGAATATTTTTCACCATTAAATATTCACAAATCATCTTCTTTCCTACTCACCTCCCTCAGAAATTACCCCACCGACACTTAAAAAGTATGAGCTTTGGAACTCTTGCCCTCAGAAAACTCCAACCAAATTGATGGTGATCAGTGGAGCTTCTTGTCTCCTCTCTCCTCTCACCTTTCTTCTCTCTTCTCTCTCCTCTCTTCTCTCCTCTGCATGCACAGCACAGTTGTCGTGGTAATGCTTTGGACAAGCTCGCATTGCAGGTGGCAGTATATATTAGCCACCACGTGACCAGATGCTCTCTGTGCTTTGTGCATGCATGCATGCATCATCACTACTTTCGCTTCAGTCTTTTATCACGCAACCCATGACACGTGACATCACTACGTGTCACCCAAGACCTCTATAAAAATCTCATAGCAACAACTCATCTGTGAGAAAGATTACATATAGAGAAATTGTATCTCATCTTAATTTGCAGCTTTCAGCCATTGTTAGCCATGGAGAGGAAATCTTTCTTTGGGCTTGTACTTTTGCTCTTCATTGTCTTGGCTTCACGTATGTGATTCGTCAAGACTCTCTCTTGTTCATCTCTCAATCTTCTATGTACTCCATCGCTTGCTTTCTTTCACTAAACTTCATGATGTTGTTAGTTTATTTTTTTTTATATTTAATTTGTGCACATAACATAATTGTAAACCTTAATTATGAATTGTTGGGTAAATAATTCATTTGATTGGGGGCATGCAGAAGAGATGGTGGTGCCAAGCGAGGCAAGGGTTTGTCAGTCACAGAGCCATGGGTTCCGTGGACCATGCATCCGCCACCACAACTGTGCTCTCGTATGCAGGAACGAAGGCTTCTCCGGTGGCAGATGCCGCGGCTTTCGTCGCCGTTGCTTTTGCACTCGCCTCTGTTGATCACTGGGTCGTCACTGATTAACCAGGTCACTCGGTCGTACAAGAAAATGCGTTGCATGTTATATGCAACTAGCTCTAGATAGGAAATTAATAAATGGAGTTTTCTTCCAAGCGTTAGATCGAGGGAAGTGTTATCATGTTATTCTGGTTACTTAATGGTATTTTTAATCTTATTTATTTATAAAGTTTTCTTTTTAATTAATTTTACTTAATTGTGTATCAATAGTCATGATTTTCTTCCTCATAAATTACAACAATCATACTATTGAGTTCAATTTTTCTGTGACCAAACTCCCTGTGCCACTGTACCCGGAACACCCAAAAATTACTCCATCTTGTGACCTACTTATTTTTTTGACATGTATTCCTTCACTTTAACATAAAGTTAACCCTGTTAACTTCATTTGAAAATTAAAAAACAAAAAAATAATTCTTCATCCTCTATCTCTTTGGTTTATGCCCGGATATTCACTCCGAGCGATAAATTATCATGCAAAAAATTTCCACAACAATAACCCATAAGTGGTATATTTGCTTGTGTATTTTTGTCCGGTCGTCAACATCAACGAACCCATCTTAAATTCACAAGCCTTTCTTTGTTGTGTTTTTTTCATTGATCAAATTAGGTTGTTGATACCATCGAGGTGACCGCCGCTGGCTTGGTTAATTTCCAACAAACGCACATCAATTGGCGACACCCACGGGCTCCGATTTATGGAACCCAGATGAAACCACCGTCATCCAACACTTGAAAGTTGTCGAACCCGCTGTAGAAATCTTTGTCGAATCTGCAATTTGCCGACCTGTCGAGCTTCTGCTCTAGTTGTCGAGGCCCAGCAATAGAACCGCCATGCTCCGACGTACAAAACCCCCTCAGTCTTTTAACCACCTTACACTGGAAAACTGTTTTCTTGTCCTTCATCTTTCCTACGCTCTAATCTGAAAACTCAATTTCGTTCAAAACAAAATCTGAAAACTCAGCCAGTTCTTGAAAAACAAACCTTTAATATAATTATTTTAATTATTATTTTGATAGAAATTAGAGACTTAATAGAGTTAAGTTCTGGTTAAGTAAAGGGACACGTGTCAAAATAATAAGAAAGTCACAAGGTCACAGGGTGGGCACAGGGAGTTTGGTTTAGTCACAGGAAAATTCTATTTTTGGGGAATGTACGTCGTATTTAGTTAGCTCATCAAGGCAATGATTTTATATTTTTGGCTTGTTAGGTTGCTACATTTTCTATTTCCTATTTCCTAGATATATATTCATCACTCTATAAATCTATTTGTAAAATCCAATTTCAAATTTAAATAACCAGTAGAATATAAGAGATCATAGCATTTCTATATTTTTACATCGTTATCACCAGACTTTTTATTTTATTTATAATTTATTTCAAATATTTCATTAACTGTCATAATTATAACTAATATTTCCTATTAATAGCATATCCATGAACCCATTTCTTTTGGTTGCCATTCCCTCTAACATATAGCCCCTAAAATTGCAAATTTTAAAAAAAAAACTGTAAATTACATATCCAATTGTACCTATAAAAAATATAAATATAAATATATACCTATAAAAATATAGGTATATTATTTAAATAAAATATAAGTATATTATCTACTAAAAAAAATTATAGAAAAATAAGTACACAATAATTTATATAAAAAATAATAATAGGTAGATTATTATCCACCAAAAAACTAGGTATAATAAATTTAAAGAAAATATAGATACGCAATAATTTATCTTTTAGAAAAATAGGTACACAATAATTTATAGAAAATATAGATACACAATAATTTATAATAAAAAATAATAGGTAGATTATTATCCACCAAAAAACTAGGTATATAAATGAAATTCAACTTCTAAATTAGGTAGATTATTATTCGAGAAAGATGGAACAAAATTTCAAAAAGGCAATAAGGAAAACTGCCTTTTTCGGCCAACACATTGTTGACGGAATTGATAAATTTTAATAATAAAACGGATAATTAATTGCAGCGAAATTTTTAGAGGGAATCACCACAATAAATTGGGGAACCAAAAATTAAAACGCCACCTCATTACACGTTGAAATATAAATAGGGGTATTTTGGCAATCAAAAAATAATAAATCAGAAATTGAGCTTAATAAGGTAATTTGATGAGTTTGATCCTAATCATGGGTTTTTACTTATAAAAATTGGGTATTATTTATATGAACAAACAGTGAAGGGTTACAAGTAAAGTAAGTTAAATTTAAAAGGTGTAAGCCAAATTTACTATATTTTTTTAATAAAAAGACAGAATTTAAAACTTGTTACATTTTCAACCTAAAATAAAGGTACATTGTACACAAACAATATGGTACATAAATCTTCACTTTTGGTACACAATATAATGAAATATCATGAATATCGGTATAAGGATCTCTCTTCAGGAAAAAATATTCATTTTTATAACTTCCATGGAGATAATCTCATTATAAAATATCTGTCAGGAAATGGAAGACCCGATAATTTAGGCCTTTTTATTAATTGATCTTCGCCCTAGAGGCTTGAAATATCCATATTATGTCAAGTGAAAATATAATTGATCTTCTTGAATTTTTAAAAGAGAAATCATTAATCAAATGTTCATAATTGAGTTTTTCAAGAAGGATATATATACTCCTAGTGGTTAGCTTCAATGTTTCCCTTCTTTTGAAGGTGTTTCTGTGTTTTTTATTTATTTAAATAATTATGTACAGCTTGTTGTTATAATGCCAAAAAATATATAAAAAGGCAAATAGCTGACTTCAATAAGAATAGAACTTAGGCGCCTCTGTTAAGTGGAAACACGCTGGAATGCCAACTCCACCACAGACACTTTTGTACAAATATTTAGCACACTATAGTATATATACAATTATTCTAAATATTATATATATATAATATAAAGGATTTTTTTTGGGGGGCCCTCAAGAATCGGGGGCCCTATGCGGTGGCGCCACTTGCACCACCCCAAGGTCGCCCCTAGGGCCCTAAGGCATTGTTGTATGAACACTAGTACATGGTAACGTGGCCCAAATGTGTGGACACAAGTCACATGCAATAATTAGGCTTCCTCTACTGCTAAATCGCCCGACAAGTTTAAGCGGGCACAATTCTTATAAACATGTTATGACGTTGTCGGGGCAATTCTAATAAACACTTGGGCATATTGGGCTAATTGTAGAGCTGATGGTCACAAGGGTCCATACTACCTATTATGGTTCAAAAGGTGGTTTTGGGATGTTTGGAGTAGAGGTGTCAAACGGGACGGGCCGACCCAGCACGGGACGAGCCCAGCCCATTTAAATGAGGCACGGCACGGCACGAGCACGAATATTAATTGGCTGTGCTCGGCACGGCACGAAAACTTGGACCGGGCCAGGATCAAAAAATGAGGTCCAATGGACCGGGCCGGCCCATGGCCCGACATGGGCCGGGCTTGGCCCAAGCACGCTTCAAGCACGGCACGAGCCCAAGCACGGCCCACTTAACATTTTTTTCTTTCTCAAAAGTCAAAATGCAATAATTTGACATCTAATGTCATTATTTATATGTTTTTTTAATCATAAATATATATTTGATGTCTTTCATTTTAGGGAAATTACTTGGGTCCTTAATTAATTAAACATATCAACTACAAATTAATTAAACAATATTGGACTTGATATCTAATCAGTACATATGAGATATATGCTTCTCTTATAATCAAAGCAAGACATTATTTCACATATAAAATAATAAGTTGTTTAAAGATGAAAAGTTGAAGTGGACTTTGTAGAGTTTGACACTTTTTGCCCTCTGCCATTTTCATATTGTTTGGATGTTTGATTGATTAATGTTTTCAAATAGTTCATCATTTCTTGCCTCTAATTATATTTTTAATGTTTATAATTTGAATTATCTAGTGAAAAAAAAAATGAAGTGAAAAAAATTCAAATTAAATGGATTGGTTCTTGGGCCCGAGTATGGCACGAGCACGAGCACGGGCACGGCACAAGCCCGGCCCGGCCCGTTTCAATATGAACATGGGCTTTGGGCTGGGCCGGGATCAATAATTTTACTAAATGGGCCGGCACGGCAAGGCACAGCCCGATAAATTAAATGGGCCGGCCCGGCCCGACACGAAAACGTTAAAAGCACAAGTTTAAATGGGATGGGCCTGCACGGCACGGCCCATTTGACACCTCTACATCATACCCATTTAATTTAAGCTCATTTTCTTGAGCTGACTACATGGGTGAGCGAGAGAGAGTTCCCATAACCCCATCTTTAAGAACGAACTAGCCTTCTCTAAAATTCAAACAAAGCCTTTAGCCTTTTGCCGGAACAATATCTTTACCTTAAAAGCTCATGCAGGAAAAGAGAAAGGAAAGCAAAGATTGAGCTTTGCCAAGGAGGGAAGCCTCTACAAGGTCGAGTTGCATGAACCTAGCATATTTCAAGAATTTTTAACTAATGAAGGTCAATTGGTGGAAGTGAGGAGAAATAAGTGAAAACATTTAGCTAAAGAGAAAGAGCAAGAAGACCATACCACAAGCACCACAATATACTTTGTTTTGAGATTCAAGCACCACAATATACTTTGTTTTAAGATTCAAGCACCACAATTGTCTCTCTTTTATTAAACTTATGGGCACTTAGCTACCACACCACAAGCCAAGTCTTGATTTACCATAATTATTCTCTTATTGATTAGAAGGATTTGAAGAAAATGAGAGCACTCCCTAAGAATTTACACCATTTCAGAGTGTTTTAGGCATCAGAATTAGACTCACCCCTTACAACGGCCCAAAAACCTAAATGCCCATTTCATAGTATTTTTGCCAAACTACAGGGACCAAAAGTGACTTTTTGCCCCACAAGAAAAAACCGTTGTGCCATCATCTGCTAGAATCTCAACGCAGAGAGTTCCACTCATAAAAAATCAAGATTCAAAAAGATGAACTCGATCACCTTTGAGCTAGGGGAGATAAGGGAGGTTGTCCGTACTCCTATCGACCTTAGTCGACTGCTTGAGAGGCTATGGTCAGGTCAAATCTCCAAACATATTCTAGCAAATGCTTGTCAATGTCTAGCTCAGGGAGAAGCAGCGGCGGAGCCACCTAAGGCCCAGGGTGGGCCCAGGCCCTCTCTCATTTTTTTATTATTTTCTCATAATTTTGAGTCTTTAATAGTGTAGATGATGAGATTAATATTCAACCATGTTAAAATATGAAGTTCAGGACAATTATGATTGTAATAAATGGATAAATTATTAATCGGTATGAAATGATATTATTAACTTATGAACCTGTTTAGCGCTTGAGGACTCTTATTCGAATTATTTTTAAATTTTTTGTGAAAGGCCCCCTCTAATGTGAAATCCTAGCCCCGCCACTGGGGAGAAGCATACACATAACGTTGTATGTAGATCTCAATTATATATCTAATCCTTTTCACAAATGGAACATACGTACCAGATGATCTTTACCTACAGCCTATAGGCCACGTTTAGTGTCTAGGATTGAATTTGATTGATTGCGTAACTCACCATGTTGGTTAGCTTGCACAAAAATGAAACCAACACTTTTGACTAACAAAAAGGTTTACTTCCCCAAACTGATTCATTGGCCTTCAACAATAGGTACATAATGCATAAACTAACATCGAATAAATCATTCTCTAGATCAATTTATACCCAAAGTCCATCTCCGTTGTTGGAGGAGAAAAACTTCCGCTCACTCGTTGCATGAAGCATTTCCCTCACATCGAGTTGAACGACATCTCCTTCCATACCCGAATCCCACCTCCAAGTTTTCAAGGATCCATTGCCATTAGGCAAAACAACTTTTGGAATAGGTGCATTGCCTGTGCGTGTGGAGAAAAATTTTGTATACCACAAGGATAGCACTACTTTGTTATCCCCAACCAATCATGTTCCACCACACATGATAAAGATTCCATATGGCAGTGTGAGTGGATGGGGATGGAAAAATAGTGTTATCCCAATGACACGCAAGTCTTTTTCATGGGTGTGGGTAGGGGTGACATTTTAAACCGAAAAAACCGCAAAAACCAACCGATAATTTACCGCAATGAAACCGCAATCGCGGTAAACCGAACCGCATTTGCGGTATTAAAAACCGAACCGCATTTGCGGTTGCGGTATTTGATTTTCAAAACTTGCGGTTACCGCAAACCGCAAAGTATAGCCGCACGAATGATGATGTTTAATTCTACAAGGAAATGAAACATATGACAACTTGTAAGTAATTAGTTTATTTATGCTTCTTCTTATAATAAAATGTACTAAACTATGTTGTTTTATTTGTAGATAACATTGGTGATCAAACAACACAACGAGGTTCTTCAAATCCACTCACCACCAACACTTGAGTTTGTAACTTTAGTTTGTAATATTGGTGCATTGCATTTTCTTTTTAATTTGTAACTTTAATTAACTTTGAATTGGATTTTTCTTTTTGGTTGTAACTTTAATTCATTTTGCTTTGCATTTCCTTTTGATTTGTAACTTTAAAGAATTTGGAATTGGAATGCTTGAGAAGTTTAACTTTAATTGGAATGCTTTGAATTGTAACTTTAATTTTCTTAGGTTGTGAATGCTTGAGAAGTTGAGGAGATTGTGAATTTATATATGCTTGAGAAATTAAGGTTGTGTATTTATTTATTTAAGTTGTGAATTTATATTTTTGTGAATGCTTGAGAACTTGCGGTTTTAAACCGCTAATTCGCGGTAACCGACCGCATTTTGCGATTTATCGCATTGCGGTAAACTGCAAAACGCAGTCGGTTTGCGGTTTCAAAAATCACCAAACCGCAAATAGTCGGTCGGTTTGCGGTTTGAGTAAAAATTCGCGGTTATCGAATCGCAACCACCCCTAGGTGTGGGTGCAGCTCAAGAATCACCAGCCAATATCTTTAGTTTTTTCTTTTTCTTTTTTTTTATAACAAAACAAATTTTTGTCCTCGTTACACCTGAATCACTCTATATATACACAATGTTGCCACAAATAATTTCCATCACAATAAGGTAACATGACGTTATAACTAGTTGCTTACTATCATTTCAGCTTGTTTTGACCTTAATAGGCATCAACAAATCACAGTTCTGTTTTTGTGTCTGTATTTCATCGGGCACATGTGTGTGTGTTTGCCTGCACGTGTGTGTGTGTGTGTGTGTTCGAGCGAGCGCGCGCGCGCGTGTGTGTGTGTGTGTGTGTGTGTGAGAGAGAGAGAGAGAGAGAGAGAGAGACCACCCACTCATATACATAAAATCCACAAAACCAATTTTCAAAAGCCGTAACTCAAATCAAACCAGCTTTGCTCAACCCTCAGCTAAATCTCTTCAGTACAACAAGGTACTGAAAATAAAAAATGAAACAATGGGTATCAGAAATTCCACCCGACCACCACGACAGCCTGCATCAAAAAATTGCTCTCAAAATGTTAGACATTGTCTCTGAAAAAAGTCTTCGGGGCAAGGGAAAATACAAATACCAAAACTGGTAGATGTACGCTCAACCATTTTGTTTCTTATACCAAAACAAAAAGTAAAAAGGGGAAATATAACACCGCATGTTAGATTGGCCATGGTAAGTCTTGAATATAAATACATTAAGCACCTAATGCTAATTTCATTTTTCACATTTCCAATATTGCATTGATTTCTTTTTTCCATGTCGTTATGCAAACTTTGTTAAACACATTAAAACCAAAGAACCAGAAAATTCACAATAGCCAGAAATTGCAGAATGCAATGACACACCAGGATTTTTAAAAGTCTCCGATGTTGGTAGTGCAGGCAATGACATCTCTGCAAAATACAGTTATAGCAATGAGGACATGAATTTCATGTAAAAAGGCAAACATGATATTTGTAGAACCTCAGTAGTATTTTATTGTATACTGCAACTATTTTATTTTTTCAAAAGAGAAATTGCATACTGCAACTACTAAGGAAAAAAAGAAAGGAAAATCATTCTTTGTCCCATCACTTACCAGGCCCACAAAGGGAGAACGAGGAAATTGAGGATGACGAAGGCCATGGTGCTGCAATGTTGTCACTCAAATCACATGTAAAGCTGTAGCCGGTTGAATTGTCAAATATCATATCTGAGGGCAAGCTTCGAAGTAGACACCCTACATTTGAAAAAAACCAAAATAATCAACTTAATAAATATAGTTAATGATCATACTCCAAGGACCTACTATGGTTGCCGTCAAGTAGATGTAAGGGAACATGAAATCCAACTTCACTCAAGAACACCAAAACAGTTCGAATCATCGAACTATCATATGGAGTGTGACCCACAAAGTGTCCCTTAAGTAGTGCTATTTGATAAATCCCTCAACTAAAGCTCATTTCTTGCCAGACATTAACCACCTTAGCTAATTGACATCCATTTGATGTCATAGAGTTAGACTATGAATTAAGACTTGAAAATTAGACGGTCGTATCACTAAAATACAATGAAGAGTGGGTTCTCCAAGGGTGCCCCTCAAATTATTTGAGGGATCCCTCAATTGAAAATCCCTTATCATAGAGCACACTCAAAGTGATCCACGGAAAATGCCCAAGAAAACTTTTTAGTCACACATAAGGCATGCCAATTACCAGATGCAGTGCTCTATGGGAAACACCTACTGGAAAGTATAAAACCATTCCAATGCTATAGGCACAACATTGGATACCAAGCAATCACAGATGAATAAAATAAGGAAATTGGATAGTAAAAAAAATAGCATACCTTGTTGACCATATGCTGCTTCAGAGCCCAAAGGGATATATCCATAAATAAGAAGATATATCAGATATAATGAAGGAACAAATAGAGGTAAAAACTAGAGAGGAATCACATATAGCAGGATGTACCTTGAATGCTAAAGTCTTTCAAGTCAACATCACAAAGCTCATAAATATTAGACATGACCCCTCCTTTCCTCAACATGGACCCAAACATTGTAGCACAGACTATAGCTTGTCTATTTGTAATTAACATTTGCTTTTGTATTCCTGCGATGTAAGAGTTTAATGAGCTACAGCAGGAAGGAGCGGGGGCAGCAACATTGCGACATTCTTTAATCACTTCCGTAGGCTGCTTAAAATCCAAAGGGCAAACTGTAGGACCGAGAATCATTTTCATGAGAGACAGTACAAATCAAACAACACATATAACTGTAACCATTGCACTGTTACAAACCACATATGATGCATAGAGTCGATCAGGGGGGAAAAGAAAGAGATGAACAAGATAAAGCAAGCCTAATAGAATATATAATCAAACTTAAAAACTGCAGAGCAAAAGCAGGCGAACACACCCACCCACCCCCACAGCAACTCAGCTGCTGCCACCAGCCCAAACCACCACCCAAAACTCCCAAACCCCAACCTCTGGCAACCACACCAAATCACCCACCTACCCCATAAGCATTTTCATGAATGATGGTCCTAATTGTAATTTGCATGAGTCCAGTAGAAAAAAGAAAAATTAATAGAAGTATTCAACCCTTTTTATGCATCTGACCTTGCAAATTTAATACAACATAATTCTTTGCACCCTCAAAATGCACAACAATAGGCGCGTGCGCACACCACAGAGAGAGACAGAGAGAGAGAGAGAGAGAGAGCGAGAGAGGTAAAAACAAAACTTAACAAGAAACACCCAAAGTGCGTAAGTCTAAAATGAAAAGTTGTTCATTTCATACTTTAACACGTACCTTTGTTAACTTTGCAGGCAGATAATATTCGAAATGCAGTATTTACAGCATCTGGCGAGAGTTTCCTTGAAAGATAGGTAAAAACCACTCCTTTACAGTCAGTCAAAGTATCAACATGAGATAACTCACCCACCAAATTCTTATTCTCGTTCAATGAAAATTGTTTTCCTGAAATCTTAAGTGCAGCATCCATGATTGCAGGCTGACAAATTGGTCTGCAGCACTCTTTAAGAGGATCAACAGTGGTGCAGGCCTCCAGTAATCTGCTTGAATTTACTGCTTTCTCAAAGGAAACAACATCCTTCACTGGACAAGACCCACCTGTAAGGTTTACTGAATTTATGGAGCAAAGTGTTGGTATTGTACTGTTCGCACCCCTACTGGCTAAGATATTGATAATGTCTGTAAAACAATCATTTGCAACCGAATTTTGCAAAGCCATCTTATCAGATGAGAAGCTATAGAGACCCTGGAAGATGCGGATCAAACTACTAAACTGTGGGCAACATATCACATTTCCTACAACTGCTGCCAAGGGTAGAGAACAATCAGATGCAGTTTTGTCCATGATACTTGATATAGCAGAGAAATTTACAGGACACTTCCCAGTTAAAACAGGCTCATATCTAGTTGGAAAAGTTGGGTACATTGGTGGAAAAGACTCATCAGGATCTGTGTAATGTGGAATAACAGCAGGTGATATTTCTATGGGACCAAAGAGTCCACTAGTAGGTGGTTTAGCTAGATCTGGAATGGAGGAAACATGACTTTCCGCATAGACTGTCTGCAATGCCACTGCTTCTTGAAAACTTGATAACCAGATAAAGAATAATAATAACTGACAGCACAGAGAACCTGCAACCACATAGAAACCTATCTTCAGCGAGTAGCAAGGAGATATAATACTTCTTACCCTAAAGAATGTAATGCAACTATAATACAAAACAAACATGTATCTAAAACTGAGACACATGCAATTCAGTCATATGTGTGTATGAGAAAGAGAGAGAGCAAAGTTTTCAGTCAGATGAGACAGCATCCATTTTCTTATTCATATGTTCGTCTTATATATATATAAACATAAGAGCGACTGATTCGTCCCAAGGGAGAATACTGCACAAGCCAACCATAACCAGCAGTATATCATTGTGTTATGCCAGTCAAACTTGTTCATTCATGGCCCTTCATCTGACTATGGCCCCAAACATGTGTAAAAGCATCTCCATCACTTATTCTTTAACTAATAAACAAACAAAACTTGTTGCGCCTTTTGTGTTCATATAGTCAAAACAACAGCACAAATGCATCTTTACCAGAACATGAGTTAGACACATAGTCAATCCTTCCTATCTACAGGCACATTTCCTGCCAAAAAATAAATAGCAGCCAAAAAACAAGGGAGATTGGGAATGCTCACTGAGATAGCCAGAACATAGAGACAACTATCAAATTCCAAGTGAGAATATCACACTCCAAGTAGTTCATTCCTCCAATAAAGGATAATCTTATTCTAAATTTGGAACAATTAATCGTCAAACAATAATCATTAAACCATGATGCCTTTTTGATAGACAAGCTGCTTAAAAAAAACCACAGAACCATACACTGCAAGTTTAAAATTACTTTGAAGATAAAGGTTACCAAAAGATTTAATTTAAGGGAGATGTCTGACAATATATCACCACTACACTACAGGATGAGACTTATTTCAGTCATACCAGTACTACAGTAGTGAATGAGACTACAATATATTACCACACTTTAAGTAGTCATATCATCTGAAATCCAAACTTATGCTTCACTGACATTTCCCATTCTTTTCCTTCACCCTACTGAAAATTCCAAAGCAGGCTAGGTGGAATTAATTACAAGCTTACCTTTGAGATGACTAACAGTTTGAAAGCAGTCCATAACTAGCCCTCTGGTGTCATAGAGATTTACATAAGTAATCGTTACAGTAGTTGGTGATATGCCCAAAAACAGCTCAGGTCAATGAAGCAATACCTGTGCCACCTTCAAGCATCAGCAAATACATAAGGGAACATTATTAACTCCTACAGAGTGCAGATAAAAAGACATAACACACATTAATATTTTCAGCAATCACAGCAATAAAAGAATACAAATTTATAAATAAACCCAATCCTAGACATGTATTTATAAAAAAACCCAAGCACTATTTAAACATAGAAACACACCCAAAATCAACTCCAAAGTCAACTTTTTGGGTGTGTTTATAAATGGGTTTTGAGTGTGTGTAATTATGGGTTTTGGGTGTGTTTATATGTTTAAATAGTGTTTGGGTTTTTTTATAATTTCAACTCCCATTTTGGGTGTTTTAGTGAAACTCCCATAAAAGAAACACTAGCGACAAAATTTGTGAATTTCAAGTATCAAGAATAATATTGCCTCTCACAAAATAAAATCTCCAAAACGCAAAGAAGAGTTTAAGTTGTTGGCACAAAGGCAATAATTTTTATTGACCAAGAACACTGCTAGATACATCTCTAGCCTTATGAGAACGTCTTGTCTCATGCAAGCTTCAAAAATTAGCTCATTTCCACAGAGAGAGAGAGAGAGAGAGAGAGAGAGAGAGAGAGTAGACACGGAGGACTTATATTGCATAGTTCGAAACATTAAGAATATCAATGCAACTAGAAATACTGAAATGAAGTTTTACGATTAGATTAACTGCACCAGAACTAGAGTACATAGACATCCTAACGGAGGGTTTTTATTTACCCTTTGGTTCTAAGCTCATACGTTCAGAAAGATTATGGCAAATCCACCTGTTTGAGGATACACAACCACCACCTCATATTAATCCAAATTCGAATTTTCTAGTAAACCTAATATTGATGGGTCAACTACTGTAACCACTCAAGGTGAGTTGCTTCATCTTTTCAGAAAACAAAGCACACAATAAACATACCATCTAAAATTTCATTTCACAGCAATGAAGCTAATGATAGATCATGAAATCAAAGTATTATTATTTTTTAATATTAAAAAGCGGAAAAGAGAAAAACAGCAGGAAAAAAAATCTGAATATACCCAGATAGGACGTATCTGAGATATCGCTCACGGAGATAAATTGAACATAATGTAGCTCAGAATTCCCATTATTTTGGCAGCAAAGAAACGGAAAGAGAAGGCAATGAAAGGAACAAAATTCAGAAACAAAACTTAAGATTCACAGTTTTCCAATTGAGGAGAAAATTGAAAAAGCAAGCACAGCTACCTACCACCAAATCTTTTCTGGTATTTTCCAACACTTTAGCCACCAAGCAGCAGATGAATTATAGATATCCAAGTACAAGAAAACCAGAAGAAACAGAAAAGTACCTGCAGATGTTGAACCCATAGTACATAGATTTAGTAGTGAGAAATTGAAAGGGTTCTGGGTTTAGATCGGAAGCCCTAGCAGGCACTCATTGCTTGGGGGTAGTAACTTTGGGGTGGAGGAAACCAGTCAATTTGAAAACCCTAACCGGAGCGAAGCTGAGCCTGCTGAGGTGAGCTTTGAAAGCATGAAAATGGTGGTCTCTCTCTCTTCCACTGTGTTTACTTGCTGCTCGTGGGGGTGGATAAAGTGGACGACGAGCCATTCTTGGTGCGTACAGGCGTATGAGCCGTTAGATGAAATTGGACCGTGGAGATTAAAACATGGCTTTAGTTAGGTTTCACGTAGAAACGGGTAAAACAAAACCCGAACACCCACCCGACCCAACCCGACCAGACTCGACCCAAACAAAGCAGATCCTCTTCTTCCTCTTTCTCTCTCCACCCTTTTTTTTGGAAATAGCGCTTAATGCCACCATTTTTTTAATTTTCACTGGAAATACCACATTTCACCAATAAATATATATTTATTACCTACTTATTGGCCAAATAACACTTTTGGTTAATTTTTGGTTTCTCTCTCAGCGCTCTTTTCGCTCTCTCTCTCTCTCTCTCTCTCTCTCTCTCTCTCTCTCTCTCTCTAGCTAACTATGCCTCTTCTTATGAAGAAAAAGATCAAGAACAACCTACAAAACCCAGTTCTTCCTCTTCCTCTTTGTTTTCTTCTCTACCCAAATTCAAACCCCAACTTCGTCTCTCTTCGAATCCCTTCTGCAACCTAAACAAACCCAAACAAAACCATCTTTTCTGAATATGACAGCATATCTTGGCTTTAGGTGGCCATTATTTGAGCATTTTGGTCCAATTTTGGGGGGTTTTGAAGTCAGGGTTTACATGCCCTCTTCAAGAACAGCTTCTCCAGAAAATAAATTGTTGGGAATATGTAAGTTTTTATGTTAAATTGAATTTGATTACTGAAATTGGAATTGTGATTGATTTCATCTATATTTTGTGTAGAAAGTGAAGTATTGAGATTGATTTTGTTTGTCTGAAACAACAAATGTGTTTGTTCTTTGTTGATTGATTCTTGCATTTGGTATTGGGATTTTCTATGAACTTGTTATGATTATATCATAGTGAGGTAGCATTGTTGATTTGCTATTGCAATTGTATTGCGGTTGTATTGTAATGGTATTGCTTTTGTATTGCTATTATATTGATTTTTTTTTGTATTTTATTGATATGTTATTGTAATTTAATAGGAATATATGTTGATATCATTTTTCTTTATCTGCTTGTGATTTGTGTAGGAGTTGAGATTATTCTTGGCTGAAATATTATTTACAATCTCTCTCTCTCTCTCTCTCTCTCTCTCTCTCTCTCTCTCTCTCTCTCTCTCTCTTCGTATTTTTCTCAACATTTATGTGTTAATTTAATGCATGGTATTGTTTTGGAAGCATAATCATTGTCAATCTCATTGTTTCTTTAAAAGATTACTGTGAAATTGTTACTCCATTTTCTTCTTTCCTTTGTTTTAAGATATTTTTATTTGGAGAAAAAGAACTCTGTTTTTGTAATCTAAAAGACTAGGTACTCTTGGTGAGTGTTATCTGATCTACAATATCCAGACTTTATATATGTCAGTTTACTACTTTTGCACTTGAACTTTGGCTGTCTAAAATTTGAAAAGTCTTGTATGCCAGCAGTGTATCTATGTTACCCATCTTGGGTAAGAGGTATTCTTCAATTGTGATAGTTTGCTTTGTTGTACGTATTCAAACTGCCTTAAAATGTCTTCATTGCTGTCTTGGGTTCAATACCAGCAAAAGTTTTTAAATGATAAGAAATTATGAAAAGCTTATACATAACAGATGTATAGTTCAACATAGCTAGAGTGTAAATCTAGAAAGATGTCATTGTGCTTCAAATTAGCAAATTTGTGGGGTGAAAGCACAATGGTTGACATGCCATTCTGCATTTGATGAAAATAATTGATGACTTTGTATGGAAGTATACTCATTAAATATCTTAGATTCTATCAATGAATGAAATATTTGCCTTCGAGAGCTTCATGTTTTTTGGTTTGTTTTATCAAGTATCTTATATTCTATAAATGAATGAAATATTTTGGTAGATTGGAGAGACTAGTAAGCTAGTGGATTTTGGATCATGACTTTTGAGGAGAACTAGCAAATGAGTTTGGCTTATGCTTGTTATTATTAGGCCCCAAGAATTAGTAATTTGTAAGGACATCTAAGACATTATGTATTCTTCTTGTGGAACCTTATGACATGATGCTTTATTTCATTGGTTCTTGTGTATTCTTCTTATAGCAATTCTATGAGCTGTAGGTGAACTCATTGCTTGCAGTTAGCTTGTACTTAGTAGCATGCAATAGTCATCTTCTTAAGTTGTCTGAGAAGTGGAATTATTTGGGCCTTTGAAATTCAAATTTGTTTTTTTATTTCTTGTTTGTTTCCATTTTATTGCCTCTTCATTGCATTCTATTGTCATTTTATTGCTTTGTGGTAGACAGTTAACTTCACTCTTAATAATGGTGAACTCTCTTCCCTCTTAATAATTTTTTTCATTATTAACTTCATTTTGATATGGAGATTATATTTGTGAACTAAAAGAATTTACACTTGAGGTTTTACATTCTTGTTGTAAATTTAAGCATGGTTCAGTTTTGGTTATGTTTGTAGGTTGTGAATTTAACTTGGGGGCTTGCTTGGTTTCATTTCATATTATTGGGTTTGTTTTGGTTGGTTTGGCTTGGTAGCTGCAAGAGTAAAAGGGATGATGCTTCACGTAAATTCAACAATTAAATAAGAGATTTTTGTTTTCAATTTGTTAATTCTTGAAATACTTGGTCATTTTTTAAGATTACGTGAAATAAAAAAAAAATGTATTGAATATTATTGTATACAAGACCATGTAATTATTTTGATACCATTAAATGAAATTTTAGTTCAATTTACTTGAAAACTTTGGGATCTTGAGTAAGATACAGCAGTCACGGATACGACAGTTTTGAAACATATAAGACGACAATATAAGAAGGGTTAATTTTGACGATATCCATAGTTGCTTCCACTCCATTATAATGTCATGTAGATTATAAAGTGGCAATAGACATGCAATACAAAAGCAATATGAATACAATAAACATGCAATAAAGTGGCAATAGACAACCAATGCGAAAGCAATAAAAAAATCAATAAAATGGCAATAAACAAGTACCTTATGGATGTCTTTGTACTCTCTTTCCCATATTATATAATGTTCTAATTGTTGAACTATTACAATATTCAGTCGTTACAGATAATAAATAGTACATAAAAAATAATGGAGTGGAATACATTATGAACTATTTATTATAATAATGACCTCAAAAACAGTATCAAGTACATTACACAAATATTAGAAACAAACGGCTCCACAAGAAGAATACATAATGTTTTAGATGTCCTTACTAATTATTGGGGCCTAATAATAACAAGTATAATCAATGATGTGTACAGTTTGCTGCAAGTTTGCTTAGCATTTTCATAATAGAAGCTTTGCTCTTGTCTTCAGAATGCTTCTCAAAGAACTCCTTGTCTACACATCACATTATGCACAAAATGGTCTCCAACGCCAATGTATGACTTGCACATAGCTTGCACAAACTAGCTAAAACACATTGTGTAATTGTTAACCTCAAATTTATTCTTGACATGGAAACGAGTTGGGTGCGACTTTTCTTTTCCTTGTGCAATTTGAAAAGAAAAAGAGAAAGAAACATAAATTGTCAAGATAAAACTGAAGCAAATTATAATTTGGTCAAGTACTCACCGTTGGGAAACAATATGCTTTCAATGAATAAATAACGTATTAATTTCAACCAACAATACTGCACAACTCATCTCAGAAATATGATTGAGATTTGACAAACATACAGGTAAAAAAGATTCAATCCATTAAAACACACACATGCCAAAAGCGAACCTAAATTATAATGCCAACTCAAGCTACAAAAACCCAACTTGTTGAGCACCAGTCAACAAGTTTTATAGGCAAATTGAAATCAAGTAGAAATTACTTCAGCAGTAACACCTTCATTTTTTCAACCAAAGATGCTAGTTTCCTTTCAATATCAAAAAGCACATTCAATTAGTTAGGGGTGGCAATTTCGGACACGACCCGATACACGACTCGAAACCCGCATGAGAAATTAGCGGGTTCAACCCACACAATAAAAAAACAGGTCAATTTCGGGTCAACCCATTCTGACCCGTTTAATAAACGGGTGGGTTTCGGGTCAACCCGCTAACCCGCTACAATACCTATCTAACCCGTTTATTAAACGGGTCGTGTCACGGGTCATGTCAACCCGCATCGAACCCATTAACCCGTTTTATTTGCAAACTCTAAAAGACTAAAACCCTAGCAGAATATTTATTAATAATACTTAAAAAAAAAAAAAAAAAAAAAAAAAAAAAAAAAAAATGCATATATATTCATAAGTTCATAACCCTAGCCTCTCACTCATACGCTCTACAAACAACCTGTTTTCACACAGCCGCCTAGCCTTAATCTGCTCAGTGCTCACCAAACCAGTTTTCTCCTCTCCAAGCCTCATCTCTTTACTCCGTCTGCTTTGGTCTCATCTCCGTCTACCTCTCGACTCTCTCTCGTTTACCTCTCAACAAATAACAAGAGGGTTGGACTCGACACCCAGATCAGATTCAAAGGTTGGTTTTTTTTCCTGTGCTTAGTTTGCATTTGACGAAATTCCTTTTCCACTTTTCGTTTATTCTATTGGTTTCTGATTATTTTGTTTGGGTTGTCTTAGAATCTTAGATTGGTGGTTTTCTAAATTTTGTTTTTGGGTTGTTAAAGAGAAACTAATTATTATAATATCAAATTGTGAATGTGATGATAGTGGTGAAATAAAGGCAGCGAAACCTATCAATAATATACTGGCAGACAATAACATCAAGATTAATAGTGTTGTTTTGTTGTTCTATTTCTAATTTATTTATCGTATTGAACTTTTTTATTTCATTTCAGGTTCGATTGGAGTTGGAGGTGCTGGAATTTATAATTTTGTAAGTGTTTTTTTTGGTTAAATTCGTTATTTTTTTGTTGCACAGATTCTGCTTGATTATTATTTTTTTAATATGAAATTATTATGTTTCATATAGGTGGAATGGATACTTTTGAAGGTGTATCCGAAAGTGCTGAAGGTGGAGTTGGAGTTGGAGAAGTTAGAAACAATGTGGTTGATTCAGATCCATCAAACAACAACAATGCAGTTGTAACTCAGACTGGTAAGCGGCGTAGAAAACTCACATCAGCGGTATGGACTCAATTTGAAATTCTTCCTATAGATGAAAATAATGAGCAAAGAGCAAAGTGTATGAAATGTGGTCAAAAATATTTGTGTGATAGTAGATATGGTACTGGGAATTTGAAGCGTCATATTGAATCTTGTGTGAAAACTGATACTCGTGATTTAGGCCAGTTATTATTATCTAAATCTGATGGGGCTATCTTAACAAGGTCTTCCAAGTTCGATCCTATGAAGTTTCGTGAATTATTAGTGATGGCAATTATCATGCAAGACCTACCCTTTCAGTTTGTTGAGTATGCTGGAATTAGGCAACTGTTTAATTATGTTTGTGCTGATATTAAATTGGTATCTCATAATACTGCAAAGGCTGATGTGTTGAGTCTTTATAATAGAGAAAAAGCTAAGCTTAAGGAAATTTTGGGTTCAGTTCCTGGAAGAGTTTGTTTGACATCTGATTTATGGACGTCTATAACCACAGATGGTTATCTTTGTCTCACTGTCCATTTTATTGATGTTAATTGGAAATTGCAGAAAAGAATATTGAATTTTAGTTTTATGCCTCCTCCTCATACTGGTGTTGCATTGTGTGAGAAAATCTATAGGTTATTGACTCATTGGGGGGTGGAAAAGAAACTTTTTTCAATGACTTTAGACAATGCATCTTCAAATGATACTTTTGTTGAGTTGTTGAAGGGGCAACTTAATTTAAAGGATGCATTATTAATGAATGGAAAGTTTTTTCATATTCGATGTTGTGCTCACATTCTTAACTTAATAGTGCAAGATGGGTTGAAACACATTGATGATTCTGTGGGGAAAATTAGGGAAAGCATTAAGTATGTTAGAGGTTCACAAGGGAGGAAACAGAAATTCCTAGATTGTGCTGCACAAGTTTCTTTAGAATGTAAAAGGGGATTGCGTCAAGATGTACCCCACTAGATGGAACTCTACCTTTCTTATGATTGACAGTGCACTTTATTATCAACGTGCGTTTCTGCATTTACAGTTGAGTGATTCTAATTACAAACATTCTCTTTCTCAAGATGAGTGGGGAAAATTGGAAAAACTTAGCAAGTTTCTTAAGGTGTTTTATGATGTGACTTGTTTGTTTTCTGGAACTAAATACCCAACAGCAAATCTGTATTTTCCTCAAGTTTTTGTGGTAGAAGATACTTTGAGAAAGGCAAAGGTTGATTCAGATAGTTTCATGAAATCTATGGCAACTCAAATGATGGAAAAGTTCGATAAGTATTGGAAAGAGTATAGTTTGATCCTTGCAGTTGCTGTAATATTGGATCCTAGATACAAAATTCAGTTTGTGGAATTTTGTTATAAAAGGTTGTATGGTTACAACTCCGAAGAAATGACTAAAGTTCGTGATATGTTGTTTTCTCTCTTTGATTTATATTTTCGGATATATTCTTCTTCTGAATCTGTTTCTGGTACTTCAAGTGCCTCAAATGGTGCTCGTTCTCATGTTGATGACATGGTTTCTAAAGAATGCTTGGATGTTATGAAGGTAAATAACTATTTATTTTTATAGGAATACATAAAAGTTTAATATACATTTGACTGTTTGTGCTCATATTAATGTTATAATTTTTTATTTATTTATAGGAATTTGATAACTTTGAAAGTGAAGAGTTTACCACTTCTGCCCAAAAGACTCAGTTACAATTGTATTTGGATGAGCCCAAAATTGATAGGAAGACAAAGTTGAATGTTCTTGATTTTTGGAAAGTGAACCAATTTCGATATCCTGAACTATCAATTTTGGCACGTGATTTATTGTATATTCCAATATCCACAGTTGCATCTGAGTCAGCATTTAGTGTTGGTGGTAGAGTGCTTGATCAATATCGTAGTGCTCTTAAGCCTGAAAATGTTGAGGCACTAGTTTGTACGCGTGATTGGATATTTGGCGAAGGTATATTTGCTCAAACTTGAATTCTTATTTCTGGTATCTGTTTCTTTTCAACATCAGCTTAATCCTTAATATTTGATTTGTAGACAATTGTACTTTAGCACCCAACCTAGAAGAATTGACTGAGGATATTAGCAAGATGGAAATAAATGCTACAGATTCTGCAGAGGGCTCTAATACAGTCATTGTTGGTGGACAGAGTTGATGTGGTTGAATGAAAGATGAAGACTGATTATTATTCAGTTGGTTTTTATTTGTATTTTGTGTTGTAATTATTTCACTCTTGTAACTTGACTTGAACTTTTCTATTCAATTTGGAGTTGAACTTGAACTTTTCTATTCAATTTGGAGTTGAACTTGAACTGATGAATATGTATTTGTATTTTGTGTTGTAATTATTTCACTTTTGTAACTTGATTTGAACTTTTTTGTTCAATTTGGAGTTGAACTTGAACTTTTCTATTCAATTTGGAGTTGAACTTGAACTGATGAATATGTATTTTTATTTAATTATTTACTTAGGTTGTATTTGGGGGAAGTTTTATCAAACTGTTAAAATTATTGATTTAGTTATAAAATTAAAAAAAAATGAACAGGTGGCGGGTTACATGGGTTGGGTCGTGTCAACCCGTTTATAAACGGGTCGTGTTCGGGTTGACCATTTCTGACGTGTTTAAAATCTTGACACGACACGAACCCGACACGACACGACCCATTGCCAGGCCTACAATTAGTCTCAAGATGTGGGACATAGATACCTAGTCTTTTAGATTCCAAAAACAAAGTTCTTTTTCTCCAAACAAAAATATCTTAAAACAAAGGAAAGAAGAAAAAGAGTAACAATTTCACAGCAATCTTTTAAAGAAACAATGAGATTGACAATGACTATGGTTCCAAAACAATACCATGCATTAAATTAACACATAAATGTTGAGAAAAATACGAAGAGCAGAGAGAGAGAGAGAGATCGTAAATAATATTTCAGCCAAGAATAATCTCAACTTCTACACAAATCACAAGCATGTAAAGAAAAATGATATCAACATATATTCCTAAGAGCAGAGAGAGAGAGAGAGAGAGAGAGAGAGAGAGAGAGAGAGAGAGAGATCGTAAATAATATTTCAGCCAAGAATAATCTCAACTCCTACACAAATCACAAGCATGTAAAGAAAAATGATATCAACATATATTCCTATTAAATTACAGTAACATATCAATAAAACACAAAAAAATAAATATATAACAGCAATACCATAGCAATACAAAAACAATACCACTACAATACAATCACAATAAAACCATAATACAATTGCAATAGCTAATCAACAATGCTACCTCACTATGATATAATCATAACAAGTTCATAGAAAATCCCAATACCAAATGCAAGAATCAATTAACAAAGAACAAACACATTTGTTGTTTTAGACAAACAAAATCAATCTCAATACTTCACTTTCTGCACAAAATACAAACAAAATCAATCACAATTCCAATTTCAGTAATCAAATTCAATTTAACATCAAAACTTACATATTCCCAACAATTCATTTTCTGGAGAAGCTGTTCTTGAAGAGGGCATGTAAACCCTGACTTCAAAATCCCCCAAAATTGGACCAAAATGCTCAAATAATGGCCACCTAATGCCAAGACATGCTGTCATATTTAGAAAAGATGGTTTTGTTTGGGTTTGTTTAGGTTGCAGAAGGAATTTGAAGAGAGACAAAGTTGGGGTTTAGATTTGGTTAGAGAAGAAAACAGAGAGGAAGAGGAAGAACTGGGTTATGAGGGCAAAGCTGTAGATTTTGTAGGTTGTTCTTGATCTTCATTTTCGTGAGAAAAGGTGTAGTTAGCTAGATGGAGAGAGAGAGAGAGAGAGAGAGAGAGAGAGAGAGAGAGAGAGAGAGAGAGAGAGTTGAGAGAGAAACCAAAAACTGACCAAAAGTGTTATTTGGCCGATAAGTGGGCAATAAATATATATTTATAGGTGATATTTGAAAAATTTATGGGGAAAGGTGGTATCTCCAATTAAAATAAAAAAAAATAGTGGCATTAAGTGCTATTTCCCCTTTTTTTTTTCTTTTCAAACAAGATGATTCAAACCAAACAGAGAGTATAATTTTGAGACTAGATGGAATCTAATTAAAATCAGAAAATCAGAACTTTGAGAAAAATCAATATACAAAATGATAAAAAAAAATTAAAAAAAAATTTATATTAGGATCAATTATTACTCTATAATTTCTCTTATTTAAAATTATATTTTGGGACTTTATTTTTTTTTGGGTCATTTGATAGGGAGGGGAGGGGGGGAGGGGGGAGTATTATATTGAGTTGTCTCTAGAGGTGAACTTGGTGGAGAGGGAGGGGGAGAGTTTGACCCACTTTTCCACTGTGGTGCCACCCCATGTGCTATTTTTGACACTTCATAGTCGAAGATAATGTCATAGGAGTTTATAGCATTTTTGGCTGTATTTTTCTAATTTCTTATTAAATTTTTTGTTGAAACACAAAAAATAAATAAAAAGACACAATTGTGGGCACCATTTAGCATTTGCCACGTATCATTATTTTCCTTTTAGTTATCTTATTTCCATGTTTTAATTTTGAAAATTTGTGATAAATACAATAAAAATAAGACAAAAACACTGAAAATTCGTAGGAACTCCTTGTAACATTTTCTTCGTCCCTAAAGCTGCAAAATACTCATTTTGACCAATAAAAATGGAAAGTAACTACCCAAACTCAATTTTGTTATAATAGTTATAATTTTTTCGACAATCCTTGTGATGGAACATATGGCTTAGATTTTTTCTAATTTAATATATTTGTTTTTGTGTGTTTATATGGGTGTACGATTTTTTTAATAATTTTTTAATATATTTTTTAATAAATTTATGTGGCGTTGTATCATGTGGACATTCATATTAGTCAATAGGATCCTTTCATTAAACTTAAATGAAGTTACTATTTAGATAAATCATATAACTAGTATGAATATCCACATCTATAGTCTATATATGACACCCTTATCATAGAATGACTCTCCAAATCAATGCCTAGCTAAGCCTGTCCATAGGGCCTGAGCTAAACCAATCTTTAAACAACGGGCCAAGCTAAGCCTTCCCGTATTACCGGGGTAGGCCAGCGCATGTCCCAAAAATGGGTCCGAGTTCAAGTAGCCCATCTGCATAATTATTTACGTCCATTTAGGTCTAAGTTCACACATGTTTTATTTTCATGCTACGTGCTATGTTGTATGTCACAAACTTCTATCTTCATAAATTTTGTACATAAATAACTACATATGCACATTTCGTGAATACATGTAGATATCCATTTCTATACAATCATCAAAAATAGAAAGAAAAAAAAAGGTGGTATCAACCTCTCAAGTAAGTCAATAATTAGAAGCTATGACTACAGAAAAAAAATCGAATGATTATTATTCATTCCTATAATTAGAAGCTTCTGTATCATGTAAGCATCTTGACACCATTCTTGTCATCTCGTTCCATAGAGGATGGCAAAATATTCCAATAAACACAGCTTGAGAGACTGGATAGATCCCTTAGTCCCTGGCTGGATTGCAAAACATGAAACAATCGAACTAATTGTAGAGATTTAGAAGATTTAAGAGTTAAAAGTTATGTTATTAAGGAGCCAAACAAAACGACATAAATAGAAATGTATCATGAATTATCAAGCACAGAAAGCAGTTTGGTTTTGTGCATCTTATGAGACGAACAGAAAACACAAATACCAAATTGGAGAAACCGACCAATCTTGGGGAAAGCAAATAGAAAACTCCAAACAAAATTAATTTCAATTTAGTGGGTTACCAAATTGAACCATACTCCAAGCCACGAACCAAATGAACGTCAACAGAGAGCTCCCTGCCACTTAAAACAAAGCATCTAAAGTTGTAATAACAGGGAGGAAAGTGAGAACTGGTTAGGACAATTTGCAATCTTGAAAGAAAGTGACGAACTGGGTTCCATTGTTCCTACCATCCCCACTCCATATTTGCTCTCCTAAAGTCCACTTCCTATTGTTATACCAACCAAAAAGCACAAAAAATTTAACACACAATAAACATAAAAGACTTCTATAGTTCCTATTATCCCCCCCTTCCGTATAAACATAAAAGACTTCTATAGATTTCTATAGTGACCTGCATGCCCACAGAGTTTTTTATATTCCCTGCACAGAAAAAGGAATGTAGGCAATCAAATGAGGTTACAATAAAAGGAGGGGGCTGCTAACCTCTTTTGAATCCAAAGTACCTTTTTCATCCACTAATCGACCAATTTCTCCTCTAATCCAACATGAAACAAACACAACATTAGAAACCAATTCTACTATTTTGCAATTTTGTTTAACGATCCATACAAAAATAAAGAGAGCATGATCAGGGACGGACCCAGGATTCAAATTGGGGTGCGCTAAATTTACCTTACACACATAGCTATTAAACTTGATAGTATGAAGTGAAATTCATTGATAACAAAAGACTACACCTAATCATGATGACATAATGAGTTTTACCCCTCAAAACGCATCTAGTACATAGTTCTTTTATATTTTCTACATGCAGGGGTATGTGAAGTGAAGGGGGGTTATTTTTTACCAAAAAAGAAAATAAGAGGGTTTGTTTTCGACCGAAATATAAAAGAAGCAGGGGTTTTTTGTGTTTGGCCTTTGGCCCCTTTTGTACCAAAAAGAAAAAGAGAGAAAAAATAGGTGAAGGGGGATTATGAGAGTGCAGTGCAGGGCTATTCATTGGGTGGGATGGATGTATCAGTTTAGTCTTAAAAAGACAAAGTCACCTGGGCAATAGCACAGGTTAGTCAAAGAGTAGGTCCGTATGCATGCTGGTTCAGAATCTTTTTCACTCTGTAATTGTCCAATTTCCTTCAGTTAGTCAACCTGTAAATCATCAAGTTAGGCATACAATCCTAAAAATATATGCAGAATTGCAGTATGAAATGTGAAAGAACACAATCCTCAACAGATGTCCACTAACTCTTCCTCTGCTTATGAATTTGGATAATATTACCTCTCTCTGTATATGTAAATCATGTTGCGACTGTTTTATGGAAACAACACCACCACACCACCCCCCTGGCCTGGATCAACAATTGAAGATTATTAGACCCACCTCAAATCATCCAAAACAATTGTTTGAACAATTATCAGAGACAA